TCTTGAAATTTGGCGCTAGTTAATCATGAAGTGACTATCTTTGTTTCTCATTGGATGGAAACACTGCTTTATTCGCAAGTTTTTTAATGCAATATTCTAGGTTTGTGCATATATTTAATTCACATATTTGGATGGAAACATAGCTATTAACTGCTCAAATGTTTGTTCTCCACCAATGCAGAAATACTTGACAAAGAATTGTACTACTATTTAGAGACACAGCTGTGCTAATACAATAAAATATGAACCGTGTAGTATTGTAACGTAACAAAATTTATAAAAATTTATATTTTGTGTATCAAAATAAAAAAAAGTGCAACCTATTAGTAACTCCAGAACTAATAACCATTATTAGGCTGTTCTGTTTAGCTAATCAACAATGTGAAGCACAATTATTGCTGTCAGATTCCTTTTTCATAGGTCTTAGATCTATTGGCAAAAGTACACACATTTCAAGTCAAGTTGTGCTTTATTGTTATTCCACTACACGTGTGGACATACAGAGGAGCGAAATGTCGTGTTTCGCAGAACCACAGTGCTGGGTATACTGGATGAGCTTTTTTTTTTAAACCTATGCATAACTAACATCTAATTTAAGATACTTAACTACACACATAAGACAGGCTATACAAGCACTTTTACATGAAACTGAACAATGTTGTGCAGGGTATAGTGCAAAACAGCTATTTAAGATTGAAGCAAGCAGTGCATCATGATTGTGGTACATTTATAGTAAACCTGGCTTTCATTATTGAGTTATTGTAAGATGGAGTTTAGATAAAGTGTCATATAAAAAGAGGAGTGTTTCTACAGGTGGTTAGTCAAGCCCACTCACCTGAATGAAGCACAATTTGAAAGGCAAAAGAGACATGGAGTGATTAAGAAAGTGTCTATAGTGCAAATGTGCAACCTGGTGCAAGAGAGACCTATCAATCAACAAATCCTTGTTAAAGCAACTGCCTCCCATACAAAGAATTGCCGGTTCGATCCCAGCTCAGCGCGCGCTGTGTGGTGTAGGACCGGCAGGATTGCATTAGTGCCATGGCTCAGATGAGAGTGAGGTTTAAGGGGGTGAGTGTAGCAGAGGCCAGCTAGTGAAGTGCTGTGCAGGTAAACCTCACTCCTCTGACCTCTAAAGGTGCTCTAGTGACAGACCCTAGAGGACATGGTCTTTAGCCTCCTTGTTAGAGCAACCGACTACCAAACAAAGAATCGCTGTTTTGATTCCAGCTCAGAGTAGGTTGGGTAGCATACAACCAGTGGTATTACATATGATTGCACTAAAGAAACTAAAAATAGTTATAGAAATGCTTAAAAGTTGTGTGTTTGTTTGAGCTTCCTTTTAGCTTATTTACAGGTGGTGTTAGATTGTAAAGAATGGCAGCAACATGGCTGATTCCCAAAAGTTTGGAGTTGAACATCCCTAGTTGTGTGTAAATGCACTTTTAAATAAATATTTTAGATATACAAAGTCCTTCCAAGTACTATTATAATTGTTAGTGGAACTGAAATCGTAAAGAGGAATTGGAACTAGCGCAGAACCTGTCAAATTCCTTATGATTCCCCTCCCTAGTCACAGACTGTTCAGAAAAAAAAACTTGGACACTTCAGTATTGACATCCCTGTAACTTATGTTTGTGATTACCGTCCTAGACTGTTTGAGTCTGTTGCGTGCACATGGCAATTGTGCACTGTTTCTCATTTGTTCTTGGATTTGTATTCTTTTTTTCTGCATTTATCACTGCCAGTTTGACATTTTTTGCATTTCAGTCTGACCTACACCTGGTCTTCAACTCCACATCCTCCAAGATTTCATCTAATTTCCGCCTGAACGACATCACTTTCTTATCCTCTTTCCTCCTTAATCCCAAAGATCTCTGCTCCTTTAGTGCTTCTTTCCCCACATCCTCCTCGGTTTCCTGTGTGCTTTAGACAGGCAGCTTCTTCAAACCCCTGAAGGCTTCGATTACAGACCACCAGCTATATAAGGCTCTGTCATCACCAATTACAGCCCACAACAGACAGGAGGGGCAAACCAAATGCTGTCAAGTGTGCCCGAACTGTCTCAGAGGCCCAGTCCTGGCTGTCTTAATCTCTAGCATTCCCATGAGTGTCCTCTCCACTTCTAATGTGGTGATGGTCTGAGCCCTGGATGACACTCTGGTATGAGACTCTTGGTTCTGCTCCCAGTGTCTGCAGCAACTGTTGTCAACTCATTCTCAGTTTCACACAGCAGATAATCCGCCCACTTAATAATCATCATGTTTGTCCTGATGGGACACACTGTGTTTTGGGAAGCCGCTGCTAGGTGATCTGTTTGAAGCGACGCTCCCCTGTAACGAGGATAGAGACCACATGCGACAGTATTTCTGGAAATATCTCACAGTGTGTTCCTGCTGAGGTTGAGTCAGTGTGATCGATGAGAGGACTAGACTGAGGCACAGCAGAGAAGTGGAACTGTTTATGCAGATTAGAGCTTCATTATAGTCAACTGTTTTGTATTTCCTTTGGTTCTGTGCTGTTTATGCAGTGACCGCTCAGGGAGCTAAACATATCCTTTCACTTAACCATGGTCTTATTTTGAGTTGTGTGCATTTGTTTCTTCTTATACACACAGGCAGTGTTTTTAAATGAAACTATGGAAACTTTCCTTATGGTTAGAGAGATGGACTTAATGAGAAGGTTGCAGGTTCGAATACCAGCACTGACAGGGATTGTGGGTGGGAGTAAATAATCTTACCACCCTCAATCCCCGTATATACTAAGTGAAGTTTATTTATAAACTAATTTCAAGAGGATCATGTGCTTATGATTGCTTGCAGCTGGTCCCGCATGATCCAATTTATGATTCACCAATCAGACGATTCCCAAACCACTATAAATACCCTAAATTCCATATAACAGCCATCTTCCGTTTGGAGAATTCCCCTTCCACCCTTACTCCTCCTTTCCTAGATGGGTGACTTGCCCATGGGTTTCCCCTGGGTTCCCCGGTTTCCTCCCACCATCCAAAACCATGCAACTTAAGTTAATTGACTAATCCAAATCAGCACCATGGACAAGCACATAGCAAGTAGTTATCTCTTAGGAGCAATCACTATCTGTTCAATAGCTACTACAGCAGGGGAGTTCTCGAGATCTACCTGAGCTCAAACTCCACCCTCGCCTTGCAAACAAGAGTGAGCCCTAGGCTCGAGGATTTTATGAGCTCAGGGATCTCTCCCAAGACAGCATGCCAAACAAGCAATCAATCATCAGCCAAGTGTGAACTCTTAAATACATTTTAGATTTAAAACACAAGTTTTGCTGCGGTTACGCCTTCAGTCCATACTACCCCTGAAAACAGAGCATTTTGAAAGCGCTCAAAAGGCTGTTTTTATTTTAAAATACTCCTGTCAGTGTGGATGGGGGAAAACGATCTGATTGAGCCTTTTCCCTTAATATTAAGTGCATTAAGTTCAGTCTTGCACCCTATCTTTAAGTTTAGACTTCGCAAGTTTGATATGAAAACAAACTCCCGAAGACACGTCAGGTAAATCTTCATGGAAAAACTGTGTAGGCTACTTTATAACCTTATTCACATCACCCTGGCTATGTTGTTTCAACAATAAAAGGAAAACATAATATAAGGACCTGCCTATTTTCATTTTAATATTAACTTAACTGAAACAAAAAATGTTGAGGCATCATGTAGCTACATATTTATATGACCGTCATCTTCACTGTATGCACATTAATAACAAAACAGAGCCTATAACATAACTGCCTTTCATTTTACCCTCTTTTTTGCTGAATATCAGTTCTAATAATCAATAATGGCCATTATAAAAGTATAACATACAATGCGTTTATACAACATAGGAAATAAAGGCAAACCATCAGTCAATATGCAGAATCAGGTATGTGGTTACTTAAGTTAATATATTAACTTATATTTGCTCTCAGTCAAAACACGTTACCTGAGAACAAGTAATGGATTCAAAAGACCATTAGATAGAGATGAATTAAATAACACGTTTAACAACTATAGTTAAAATCCAGCGGAAGATCCTTAATGAATTGTCCGAAGTGCGCTGCCCTCATCTGGGTAGGTGTGCTCTGAGCACTTGCTGACTGCCTGGAGCTCAGAGTAGCGCATACGCTGCAGCGCATGCTAGAATGAGTGTGTGGACATGTGATGTGCATTTTCAGTGGTGTAGTGTGGTCAGGGAGTTGTTCAGAAACACTAGGTGAAACGCCAGTGTAGACATGAATAATTTTCATTCTAAGAGGCTGTTTTAAAACTAAAATGTATTAGTGTAAACGGGCCCTCAATACCATGGCTCGGTGAGTCCCTTGAGCAAGACACCGAACCCCCAAATGCTCCACAAGTGCCGCAGCAATGGTTGCTGCTCACTGCCCAGGGTTTGTGTGTTCACTGCTGTGTACACACACTGGGATGGGTTAAATGCAGAGCACAAATTCCAAGTATGGGTCACCGTACTTGGCCACGCCAAGACTTTCCTTTCCTTTATTAATCATAGTTCAACATTTACATAAAATAACTGTGAACAACTTTATTTTCACTAATAAACATTAACAAAGATTAATAAAAACTGTAATAAACAGATTGTTCATCGTTTGTTAATAAATACATAACTAACGCTAACTACCTTATTGTAAAGCGTGTCAAAATAAATCTATTTTATTTTTAAAAGATTAATTTATTTCTGTTTTATACACAAATTAAATGTTCATTTGTTTTTTTGTTTTACTCTCTTGCATTATTATATTTTTTAAGGGCTTATCATTATTACTACATTAAAGGCAGGCATGTACAGTAGATGCAGTCAATGTTCAGGTTCAGGAAATCGATACCATGTGGCATCAGTGTCATGGAACAAACATGCACGTATAAGCCCATTTTTGACCCCTTCAAACTCCACCTGTTTTAATTGTGTGCATCTCCTTGTGAATTTTCGAACAGGGTTTTAGCAGCATCATCTGTGTGTTTCTTTCAGAGTCAGGCAGAAGCTCATTACAAGGGGAATCGTCATGCTAGAAGAGTCAAGGGCATTGAGACCTCTAAGAGCCGCCCGCAAGAGAATGACAAAACTCCTCCTGGTCCAGTCTCTTCCCCGTCACCTACCGGAGCCTTGCCGACCATCCCAGACACTGACCCCAGCAAAACAGGTGAGAGCTTGAGAATATACTGACTGTAAAACATGCACATCTGGTTTTCTACATTCACACACAGAGGAATAACCGGTGTACACCTGGTATTAATACGTGTTTTTTATCAATTGTAGACAATCACAAGACAAGTGAGGCAAATTACAGTTTACACCCACCTGATTTGTCCATTTTGGGCAGCATTCTATATATTTTAGCCACTTACCAGTTTATGGGTGCAGATTTGAGCTTTTATGTTTTAATCTAATATTGCAAATGTATGCATGAATATAACGAAAGCAATGTATATGCAGCAGCAGGTATAGCACTTTTTTTGTTTGTTGTTTTTTTTTTACATTTTTTACATTCCTGGTTAGTTTGCATCTACAACAAGTACTGACATGTGGAATGAGCACTGTCATTTAGATAGTAGGTGGTCTTTTGTGGATATCTGAATGAATATGACCACATTGACCACAACTACCTCTGGAAGTTGACAAGCTCAAAACATGCAAAACTGTTCAGATTGACAAAAAAAAAAAAAAAAGAATCTTAAGACCACATGTAAACATGGCCTGCATTATAAAAAAAATGAAGCTCTTAATAATAAAACAATACAGTCTATTCTGCTCACAAAATCTCAAAAGATAAGAATGAACAGCAAGAGCACCCTAAATGACTCCCTGAGTCAAAACTAGAACATAGAGAGCCACAAAAAAAAAAAAAATTCTCCAAGTGTGTGGTCCGACCTCACTCTACCAGATTCAGCCAAACCCCTATTCCCAACGCTAATGGTCTAGGGTCTTTCAGAGAGCAATTACAGCCCCAATTGTACACTAACAGAAAGAGACAAAGACAAAAATCCTTAGTCCCAGCACAAGATTTGAAACAGCCAGTGTATGAAACGGTGCATTCCTTGTTGAAACATCTTGAGGAAGTCTTGGTGAGACCCCTAAATGGTGTGACTTTGACGGTCACTGCTTGTTATACAGCTTTAATGGGAAGGCTTAGTTGATGTGTTTATAAAGCTGAGCAGGGTTATTAGGTATTAGAAGCCTATTTGTCTCAGCATCAGAATAAACTTTGGGATTAGAATGGCTGGATGGAGCAAAGGACAAGTAGTGGGTGAGAGATGGTGATGGTGGATATAAAAAAGTTTGGAGGCCTGAGGATTAGCTTGGAGGGCAGAAGGGAAACATCGCAGTTGATCTTGCTTTAATGAGAAGTGATTGAATGTTGGCAGATCGTGATGATGCTGAGATGGATTGGGGTTGCTGGGTTTATGAACTGTCAGAGTGTGGGTGACTCCCTCTTGTGCCTGTTATTCTTCCCCGTACACTTTATTTCTCTGCTCAATGAACATTCCATTCTCCTGTTAATGTCAATGTCCATCTGTGTAAAAGCATCAGGAAGGAGGAGAACCCAACAACTGATTGAGGTTTTATGAGTAGCTTTAAACTGGTGTTTGAATTTCATTTTTAAACTACCACTACGGCAAAGTAAATTCATATTAAAGACATTGATTTAAAGCCTCTTTTAGGTTTTTTTTCTTTAGAGCTTCTCTGCAACTTGGAATTTTAAAATAACTATTTTGAGCACATCTCAAAACTAGAGCCAAGAGGTCATGAAACCAAATAAGTTGTATAGCACAGAATCTGACATATTTTAGATGAATAAATCAAATGTAGTGTTGTACATATATAGTAAATGTATAATAATGACTAATGTCTGGATACTGTGTTCAAGAAACCTTTTTTTATTAAAGTCTTTTATCAAAGTTGCTGCGTTTACATTCATTTATTTTTACATTGTTTAATTTATAGTATGACCAGATAATTTTCATCCATCTCCCCTCATAATGTTCATTGTCTTTGTAACAGAGGGTGAAAGAGAACAGTATAGCCGTGTCTCTCACTAAGGGATTTGTCTGTCCAGAGAAAACTGTCTATAGTCCTTAGGCCTAGAAAGAATTCCAGCGGGAGAGAGCCAAAACAAACTGGCCATGATCTAAATGTGAAACCAGATACATATAAAAGAATGTCGTTTTCCGTCCAAGCTTGCTCCAGTGACCCCGACCCCTAGTGAGCCTGGTCCTCTCTTATTTGTGTATCCTCACAATCACTTTGTTTTGATGCCTTTCTATAATACTAGTTTCAGAACAGAGCCTTCATTGAGCTGCCAATCCCTAGAGTCCTGACAGCTGCAGTTCCATCTGGACATTGCAATCCCAGCATGTGAAAAGATTGTGTGTGCGAGACTGTACAGTGTAAAGACAATTAGAAAAAGTTCACTGGGCGTGTTTCTCTTCACCTCTGCCTTTTTATCCTCCCTATGCAGTTTAGAGTGAGTTTTAAAGCATGCGACCAGATATTGGGGATGCATCAGGGCTCTGTACTTGGGCCTAATCACTTTATCATACTTGTCTACACTTCTTGCTCAGTGTGTGGTGGGATTTATGTGAAAGCTCAAGAGGAGCATTCCCACGCTTCATGAGAAACACTAGGCCGCATTGGACCTCAGCTGCCGCAGATATAATTTATTGATGATTTTCTTTCACGCATCACTAGAGCCAGCATCTTCGTAGAGGTGGAAAGACAATACTCCAACTCAGTGGAGTCACCTTAACAGTGGTTATAGAGTTTCAGTTGCCTTTTAGATGTTTCCTTGACTCCCTTCTCCCAATTATGAGTTTATAATATTATAATATTATATATATAATAATATAATATTATTATAATTATGTGTTTGTGTATATTATATTATATTATATTATATTATATTATATTATATTATATTATATTATATTATATTATATTATATTATATTATATATTAGTTCACCCCATTTTTTAAAATCAACAATGTTTTTAGATCAACAACATTAATCCCCACACAACTGTTCAAACACTAAACTGACTGACAGTTTCAATTTTCTAGAACGTCTATTTTAAGCTGCTTTGACAAAATCTATGTTGTATTTATATATGCTATATAAATAAACATGAATTGAATAAACATCACTCAGAATCACAACATTTTCTGGGGAATAGAAGAAATGGCTGCTGTAGTATAAATTACCTTTGAAAATATATTAAAACAAAAAATATTTCATTTTAATTGTTTTAAAATGTTCACAATAAATTTTTGGAAATAATTTTTTATCATGATTGGTGAAACAATTGAAGAAAATGTACATTTAGTTGCCAAATTATGTGTATTTCATATTTACCCTGTACACCTGGATCTGAACACAAGCAAACGCAAACTATTCGATTTTAGTTTACTCCGAGTGTAGCGTGTTTTTGCTTTAAATTGAAAAAAAAAAAAAACTCAAATGTTATCATGGATCCAGTGGATTAAAGAAATGACTAGCAATCTTGCTCTGGAGCAGGGGTGTCCATACTAAGTCCTGGAGGGCCTGTGTCCTGCAGATTTTAGCTGCAACTTACCTAAACACCTTTGCAAGGATGTTTCTAGAAAGCCTAGTAAGAGGTTGATTAGCTAGCCCAGGTGTACCTGATTGGGGTTGGAACTCAACTTTGCAGGACACCATCCCTCCAGGACAGAGTTTGGACATGCCTGCTGAATTACAAGAAAAATTACAAGATTTTCATAAAATATGGACCCCCTTTCAACACTTTTTGAACCAGGTGGACCATGTAACATTTTTTGATGTTTAAGCTTTCAAACCCTTGTTGGTTTCTTCTTATATTGTTCAGATGTCTTACATTTCAGCAACAATTAACAAATTTGTTTAACCAGTAACACTGAAAGGCTGTGATAAGCAAGATACAAAAATGCACTGAACATTCTTATTCATTATTTGTTATTTTTTTAATAGTGTACTGTTATTATTTATATTTATGTAGTTTACTTAACTTTTTATTTTTATTTATTTATTTATTTTTTCTATTTTGTTCTGTAGTTCAAACACATCCCAATAAATTTATTTTGGAAAAAAAACTATGTTCACAATAATAAATAAGTGCTGCCTTAATGCACCCTTTGACAGAACTATTCAAACTTGAAATTGAATAATACTTAGATGTATTTTAGCTCTTTTTTTACAAGGAATTTCAGCTGTGGCTTGTTTAATTATAATGTTTGCTTACTCTATATTTTTAGCTTAAAATTTCCTGTTGTAGAGACACTTTTACGGGAGCAAGGGTTTGTTATAAGGCTTGAATGTGGCTAACATGGCCAGTAAAAGCATGGAGATTTGGCAGGATGCACTGGAGGTTTGGCTCTAAACAATCTTAGCTCTCTCAGTTTGTCCCAAAGATCCACTTCTTCACAGTCGCTCTGTTTAATGAAGCCATACGTCTCCAGCAGTCGCAATCTACACATCTGGAGATTGTACAGACACAGAAGGCTGCACGACACTCATCTGGCCCTCCATATTTCACAGCATAAGTGCCATTAAATTTCTTTCTCTATCTCTGGCAACACGGTTATATTGAACTACAGTGGCAGAATCCCCCCTCTTACATGCAGACTATAAAAAACGATGAGAAACGTTTGGTAAACAGGCCTGCTCTAATGGATGTTGCATCTGGGAAACAGCGGTCTGAGCAGGGTGAATGAATGCACACACAACTCCATAATTAATAAGTCCTAACTCTCATTGGGGCGTCTTGTTTCAGGGCTCATTAATTTTTAATGATAGGCAGGGTAGGACTGGAGTAAAGGCCGGCCTCTTTTCTACCTGACCCCTCGACCCCTAGAGCAGCTTTAATAACAGGTTTAATTTACTGTCTGGAATCTGAGAGATTGTTGGTGCGGGTTCGGGTTGTGTCTGTAACTAAGCACTCATAATTTTACTGAATGCACAGGCATCATTTACGCTCCCGGTTAATTGATGAAATAAAACACACAGAAGTGATGTAACTAATAAACACAGCACTATGTTGGAAAAATCTAACATTGCAATATTTTTTTTATAAATTGCGATATGAATGCAGTTTCACTAGATGTATTCAAAAAATGACTGAATAAAAAATGTAAAAATTTGCTGTTTGTTCA